TGCATGTAATACTTAAGGGAGTATTAAACAGTAAGGCAATGCAATAACAGTAAGCTCAAAGCCCTTGTGGTACTTTGAATAAGAATAGACTCATATCAGTGTGGCCTTGTTGGAGGAAGTGTGTATGTGGGGGTGGTGGAGTCGGGGTGGGGTGGGGTGGGATGGGGTGAAGTTTCAAAAGCCCTTGCCAGACCCAGCCTCTCTCTGCCTCAAGAACAAGGTACATAATTCTCAGGTAATTCTCCAATACCATGTCTGCCTGTGTCCTGTCATGTTAAAGATAACGTAAGAATGGACAAACCTCTGAAACTGTAAGCAAGCCCCCATGGTGAAGGAGGTCTTTCTATCTTTGTGTTGCTTTCATTGGTTTATAAAGAAACTGCCCCTGGCCTGTTGATAGTGCAGAATTTAGGTAGGTGGGGAAGATGGAACTGAATTCTGGGTGGAAGAAAGCAGAGTCAGAAAGACGCCATGGATCCGCCACCAGAGTAAGACATGCTCCTGAAACTTAGCCGGTAAGCCACTGCCATACACAGATTAATAGAAATGAGTTAAATTAAGGTATAAGACTTAGCCAATAAGAAGTTAGAGCTAATGGGCCAAGCGGTGTTTTAATTACTACAGTTTCTGTGTGGTTATTTCGGGGCTAAGCTAGCCAGGCAGCTGGGATGAACAAGCGGGCCCTCCCTCCTACACCCCCAACTTTCTTTTGTAAGAGTCAGATTGGTCATGGTGTCTCTTCACAGCAATGGAACAGTGACTAAGACAACCCCTAAGGATTCTCAGTTTAGGATTCCTTGACGTTCCTCCAGCAAAATGGTAGCAGTTGTGCTAAGTTAATTTTGAAAAACAGGGCCTAATTTATTCCGCATGAAAATGTCTAGGACATTAATTATTGTATGACTGAAATTCTGAAAAAGCTATCCTTAGATAGCTTGTGATTTTCACAATCTGATAATTGCTATCAAGAAAATGAAATCCTCCAGAAACATGATGGGGGTACTGTATTCTTCACAAGCTCATACCCGAGCCTCCTTAACTCATCCTGCAAACATGCCACCCCTTTAGGACGACTGGCGACTCCTAGCAACCTCTCCCTAACATCCCTGCCCTCCACTAACTTCTAGATTTCCGCTCTTCCTGGAGATGCTGTTCTTTGTCCACAGTAGCTGCCAATCCTCTCAAGACCTCACTATCCCAGGAGATAAACCTTTCTGTGGTGCTGTTGTTTTGCTTTTGTTTTTGGAGACAGGGTTCCCTGTTGAGCGGTGTCTGTTCTGGAACTCACTCTGTAGACCAGGCTGTCCTCAAACTCAAGAGATTTGCCTGCCACTGAGAGCTGGAATCAAAGGCATGTGCTACCGTGGTCCTGCAGCGAAGGCACACATCACCACCGCCTTGCACTGGCCTGCCTGGAGACCCTGCTCAGGGTCTCTTGTCTTTTTGAGCTACTCATAAAAAGCAATGACTCTCTGCCTCCACCTGTCACTCACTTTTCGATATTTCTCATATTTCTGATATTCCAGTGCCTTTCTAAGAACCTCAACTTAAATGTTCACACTGTTATGTTTATTGTAAAATAACTTTTGTTAAAGACCTTGAATTCTATTTCATTCTCCATCTACTAGTTCCTGGCTCGAAATCCTGTCTAGACTTCACTGTGTATATTGAGTTATTCCCTTGAAAATCTCCTCCACTCTTACTATTCCCCATATACACTTGGTAAAAACTTACGATAAACCCAGCTACCCATTTTATCTGTATCTTCACTCAGCTTGGCACAGAATACTAAAGAAAACTCAAATAACTAAGTTTATTGACCCTATCATACATTTTTGGGGGGCTTTTTGTGAGACAGGGTTTCTCTGTAACTTTGGAGCCTGTCCTGGAACTAGCTCTTGCAGACCAGGCTGGCCTTGAACTCACAGAGATCCGCCTGCCTCTGCCTCCTGAGTGCTGGGATTAAAGGCGTGCGCCACCACCGCCCGGCCTACCATACACTCTTGATGGTCACCTTCACTCTTCAAAGGCCAGTCTACCCCACACTGCCCTGGAGACCATCCTTTTTGCCTCCTAAGGGTATATAGGTATGGCTTTTCTCATGATATCTCAAACTTAAGAGGTTCAAAGGTCAGCTCTTTTCCTGCAATAGACCTGCTTCTGCTACTCTCAGCTCCTTCACCTCACTGAGTTGGTACCATTTCCCACCAGTTGTTCAGATGAGAACTCTGGGGGTCAATCTTTATTCTTTGCTTTCCTTCATCCTTGATGTAAACTCTTGTTCGTCAACACACTTCTTGCTCTCACAGAATTGCCCTGGCTGGCCTGGAATCTGCTATGCAGACCAGGCAGGCCTTGCCTCACAGAGGTCTGCCTGCCACTGCTGAGAGCAAACGCAGGAGCCACCAAGCACAGCCCCTTTAAGATATTCCGTGCGCTTTCTCCACCGACACTGGCATACCAACTAGTCCAGCTGTTTATCCTTTCTCACTGCAGATATGTATGACTCCCCCTCCCCCACCGCCCCATCTCAAACTCCTGGGCTCAAGAGATCCTCCTGCCTCAGGATCTGGCACTCTAAGCACGCGTCACCAATGTAAACACTTTCTAAACGGTCAGCCTATCTTCATCTTGATCTGCACCCTTTACCCAACCATTCTCCACCCAAGAGCTAAGGTCATCTTAAGACATAAACTATCATAAATGCTTCTCTTCCTTAAAACATCAGTGGCCCCTTAAACTTAGAGCCGCAGCCACCTGACTGTGTGACCTATGGCCCCAGATGTGACAGCCTCTGCCTGTGTGACCCTTATTTCCTACTGCCCAGCACCAGAACCCTTTTCTAGAAGTAGAGAAGGCTGAATCACTTTTCCATACTGGGAACCTTCTCCTCACAGGAACAATTCACTCCGGCCCACCCCCATCCTCTTTCAACCCTTGTTAAGTTCCCAGGGAGTTAAACAATTGTTTATTTTGCTTTTCTACCATTGGCTTACTACACACACACACACAGGCACACATCCATCCTGCCACCACACTGCCTGGCACATACTGACTACGTATGCAATAAATATTCTTGGTTACTAAATGCATTTTTGTAAACGCCAAGGCCAAAGAAAACGTAACAAGCCTCAGACCTCTCTTTGGAGGTCAGACCTCTCTTTTCTGGGAGTCAAGATCTGTGGGCCCCAAGATTAAGGGATGTGTCTGTGTCAAGGCTGCCAGTGTCTTGCCTACCTCGGAATCATGGGAATAAGCTGAGCAGGGAGTAACTGTACTTCCTGATATCAGCCTGCCCCTTTTCTCACAGGCCTCGCCTTTGCAGCTTTTGGTGTATCTTTATTCTCATTTTCCTATATCATTTATGAACATTTTAAAATTCTGCCTTCATCTGTGTTGTGTTTCCAGTATTAAAACACAATTAGGCTCATTCAGTAGAAGTACATTTTCCACGGGACCGGCACAATGAAAGTAATTTAGACGAAGCTTCTCATTTTCATCTTTCATAGTTAGCTAACTGTATCACTGCTGAAACTGTCTCCTTTCTCTCCCCATCTGAAGGACTAGCTAGGAGGCAGAAGCTGCAGCTGCCACCACTACCTCACTCCAGGCTGTCTGGAGCTGCTCGGATGTGGCTGAATACTCAGGATGCTCATTTTCCCCTCCAAATGGGTTGTCTTGAGTGTGAGGAGAAGCAAGGTGCCAAAGAAAGAAAAATGATCAACTAAATAACGAAATACCAAAGAGATCGGAGGGGTGGGGTGGTAGATTGGAGACAGAAGCTTGTAAGCGGTGGGGCAGTTACCTGGAACTAGAGGCTAATCAAGTCATGAGGTGAGGTGGGACAAGAGTCTGAATCTATTTCACCTACAGTGATGGAGCGATAATTAAACGTGGCACAGAAAAAGTTTTTCTATCAAAAAAAAAAGAAAGAAAGAAAGAAAAGAAAATTATCTGACAGCATATAAAACTGGCACCAATCCTGTCCACGGGATCGTGGCGATAATAAATGGAAACCTCCGTCCAAAAAAAAAAAAAAAATCTCTTTATCTCCCTATGTTATTTTAAGAACAAGATTTTTAGGGCATAATTTTCAACAAGTTTTAGCTGAGAGTGAACACGGGACGCAGAGATAATTAAGGACACTAAAAGAACAGACCAATTACTTCTAACACAAAATGGCCTGAACACACCGCGATTACACTAGTGAGCAATAAGCAAAGCCACTGCTGGCTTTATTTACCTGTTTGCCAAGCAGCGCTTCCTAACCGTGAAAAGCGCCGCATCTACCCAAACTGACTGGTAAAAGTAACCTGCGGGTCCTTCCCCTTTCGGGCACATCCTACCTGGGACAAGGTCTCTCCTGGCCTCCTTTCTGCTGGGCCTGACCTGAGGACTCCCCCGGGGCTCCGGGAGGACCGCGAGGAGAAGGGGGCGGAATGGGTGTCACGGGCGCCCTTCCGCACCCCTCCCACCTCCCACCTGGCCAGCTCGGCGCCCGCCGTGTCCCGGAGGAAGGATGCGGCTACACGGCGACCCCGGACGATCCGCCAGCCTCGGGCTGTCCCCCAGCCCGCTCACCTCCGCGCCCTCCTCTTCGGGCCTCGCAGCGCCGCGCCACGGCTCCCACGCGCCCAGGGCCGGCCGAGCTCCCGGGCCTACGGAGCGCTCCTCCCGCCCGCCGATCTCCCGCCCCCCAAGCCGGACCGCGCCGGGGAGGAGGAGCAGGGGGAGGAGCGCAGAGGCGGGGGCGGGAAGGGGACGGTGACGCGCTGGGGGCGCGGGGCGCAGGGAGGGCCGGGGACCACCCCCGGCCGCCGTCCCCACGTCTGCGCGCGCTCTCGCCGAGACCCCCGTGCAAGCAGCCCTTGGTGAACCCAGCCCGCATTTACACCCCACTGCCTCCGAGACGCTCGCCACGCCGCTGGGGACTTGGCTTTGCAGAGTGCCCCCCTCCCTTCCCACCCCCTTTCTCCAGAGCTACTCTGGTCCATACAAACCTCGAAGAAACTGCGCTTTTTCTTCGGGCTCGATTGTGTCCTTGGAAGAGAACGATCAGAAATGCCCTTTCAGGAACCGCATTTTCAAACTCCCCGGGACAGGAGGCCGTTCACAGCGGTCGACTGCAGGGCTTAGACTGCAGACCCCGACCTTCACTGTCGCCGGGGCGAGCTAGCGAGCGAGCCTTGTGGGGACTGGAAGGTGGAAAGCCGCGAGTCAGGAGACCTGCGTGCCTGCGGAGAGCTGCCGACCTCCAGACTCCGCAGTGGCCTTGGAGCATCCAGGGTTCGCTGGGCTGTGTAAGGGCACCTTGGGTTCTGACTTTCTGTAATTTCCTCCTTTCTTTTGGATTACCAGGTAGCTAGGTATCCTTTACCCTTTCGGTGAAAAGTGGAACCTTTATTTTTTTAATCAATTTATCAAAATTTCTCAAATTGGTGCTTTCCCCCCCCAGACATTAGTAAATCTCATTTCAGCAAATTAGGTTTAAAAATTATCTTTCTTGGTGGTTTATTAACTAGGCAAAACAGAGCAAAACCAGAAGAGGGTCTTGGATCGATCCCGGGGCACTGTACTTTCCCCTTTGAAAGCCACACATAGATAAACCTCTGCAAGAGCCTTTTGGGAAACATCCTTTGTTTGATCCTTATGGCAAGCATCTCTTCCCCACCCCCAAATAGGGTGAAGGTTTAAAGTCAGTGGATAGCGAAGTGTCAGGGTCCACGTGGACGCATTGACAGCTGGTAAAATACTTTCCATTTTGGTAACCGAGGAGGAAAACCCCTCATGTTTTGTGTCAGTGTTTATTATTTCACTTCAATCACTGTCAAATAATGAAAACATCATTAGTGTACTTCTACCACTTCCGGGGTACCAGTGGGGAAAATCGTGACTTGGGCATTTGATGAGAAGATGTAGCTTTTCTGTCACTTAAACAAAATCATTATGTAATATCTAGCAAAGGTTATTACGATTTTTTTCTAGCTAGCATAAACCATAAGTTATTATAGAAAACACAAGTACACTACACATTTAAAATACCTTTAAAAGGTGTTTAGACATGGGCTCTGCTTATGTAAAAAATGAAGTAATATGTGAGATCATTTGCCTCCCCAAAAAAATAGTGAGTCAACAGTGTACAGTTTTCAGAAGGAATATCTGTTTTTTTTGTACTTGAACTATTAAAATAAGCAAACATCCTCCGTGGGTGGGAAATGCCGTGTTGCCAAACACGCCCCAAAGATGGCCATTGCGGCTCAGAGCACCGCACCTTCTGGTCCACTTCATGAGCCGGTGGTCATTTGTCACCAGTGCTTTCTGCTTACAGTTTCGAAGTATAGAAAGCCAGTTTCGCAAGCCTTTTCCAGGTCATGAGCAGTCTCTGAGAAATATCCTCAGTTCCCTGAAGTAATTTATTCCACTGAAGTACAGCAATGATTCATTAAATGGCTCTCTAGTGGCCTGGAGGTGTTAACATAATTTCTGCTTTGAAGTTAGTAGACAATTGAGTAACTTTGAAATGACAGTGCCTAAGGAAACCTTAAGCACCTGGAGCTCTCCGGCAACTCATTCACTAAGACCACGCTTGCTGAGTTCCTGCCATGAATGCTGGACCGCCGGAACTCTTGAACAGCGTGAAAGACAGAGTGACCGCGAGTCTTCCAAAGTGTCCATTGGTGGGGGGAGATCAATTATTAAATAGGTGCAAATAAAATGTGCACAAGTCCTTTCCGTGTGAGAGGTAAGTGTGAAGCAGATGAAAACAGAAGACTTTGGGGTGGATAACAGGGAGGCTCTTCACTCTAGAGAGCCGTCATACACATCAGTGAGCTAAAGGCTCTACACTAATGACATTCACACTTGGCCCATTCTCAGTAAACGCTGTTTTTTGACAGTACAGAGACTTTGTGAACAATGCATATCGATAGAATGACCTTGGTATGAAATTCTTTTTTTGAAATTAAATTCAATAAATAAAATAGCTGTTATATTTAGTTAATGATATTACCTAAAATGTATTAGTGAATGCATATTTATGTACTTTCAGATATATGTGAGTGTGCTGTATGACCTTCATGGAATAGATTTTGTTTGAAGACTGTGGTGGTTTGAGTAGGAATGAACCCCCATAGGTTCACGGTTTTGAATCTTGGATCACCAGGGAACAGCATTATTAGGAGGTGAGGCCTTGTTGGAGGAAGTGTGTCATTGTGGGTGGGCTGTGAGGTCTCAAAAGCCCAAGCCAGTCCCTGCAACCTGCCAGGTGTTCTCAGACCCTTCTCCAGCACCATGTCTGCCCCCATGCCGCCATGCTTCCCACCATGCTGATAATGGACTGGACCTCTGAACTGTAGGCAACCCCCAACTAGATGCTTCCCTTGATAAGAGTCGTGGTCATGGTGTCTCCTCACAGCAATGGAATGTTGACTAAGACAAAGACAGAATAGGAAATGTTTTTAAAGCAATTAAACAATACAAACGCGCATCTTTACAAAACAAATAATTTGTAGTTAACATTATTTCATGAACATCTTTCCATCAATGTAATTCAGGGGCTTTTTTTTTTTTCTTTAAGTTGATCTCACTGCATAGCCCTTGCTATTCCAGATCAGGCTGGTCTTGAACTCTTCTGCAGTCCTGGGACTAAAGACTTGTACCACCATAGACCCAGAGAAAATTGTTAGTGCCTGTGTATTCCATAATACTATATATAGTAGTCTAACAGAAAGCTTTAAAAAAATGCATTTTTCAGCTGGGCATGGTGGCACATGCCTTTAATCTTAGAACTTGAGAGGTGGAGGCAGGCATATCTATGTGAATACAAAGTCAGCCTAGTCTACACAGAGAGTTCCAGACCAGCCAAGGCTACATAATAAGACACTATCTCAAAAAACAAAACAAAACGAAAGATTCCAGTTCCCTTTGTGTTATGAGTAATTGCTGTGGGATAATGCTCTTGCACACTATAAAATGCTGATTGGCCAATAGCCAGGCAGGAAGTATAGGTGGGACAACTAGACTAGGAGAATTCTGGGAAGAGGAAAGGCAGAGACACAGTCACCAGCCAGACTCAGAGGAACCAAGATGAGAATGCCTCACTAAAGAAAGGTACCAAGCCACATGGCTAAACATAGACAAGAATTATGGCTTAATTTAAGTTGTAAGAACTAGTTAATAATAAACCTGAGCTAATAGGCCTAACAGTTAATAATATAAGTCTATATAAGTTTGTAATATAAGCCTCTATATGTTTCTTTGGGACTGAATATCTGTGAGACTGGGCAAGACAGAAAGAAAAATACTGCTTTAACGTCTTTACATAATTTACTCTTTAGGATATTAAGTGCTGAGAATTTTTCTTTAAGATATATTCCAAAATGTAGGTTTCTTAAAAAATACTTTTATGGGACTGTGGAGCTACTCAGCACTTAAAAGCATTGGCTGCTCTTCCAGAGGACCCAGGTTCAATTCCCAGGTGGTGGTATAGGGAACAGGCAAAAAGCACCTTGTCCTAAGAACTGCCGGTTTGACTTCAGACTCCATTTTACCTGTAGGGTGAAACAAAGTTCAGGTTCCCAGGCCTTAGGGGAGCAGGGGACCTTCCAAAGGCTGACTCACCCCTCTCTAAACCATGGAAACAGTCTTATGCATCTTTAGTTCTCTAGAAACATCATGGCTGTTCCTAACAACAGAAGGAACAAATGAATCTTATTGGTTGGACTGAAAATCTTGCATTGATGACAATGATGGAACATTGAAGGAAGCCGCCATCTCTAAATCCTGATTGATACAAACTGTAACTGTAATTTGGCAACAAATGTTTGTGACTATTGGCTTAAAAACTTGCTTCAACTTGACTTTAACATTTGGGCTGTAGTTCAACTCCTGAGTATTCTGTGGCCCTGATAGATCAGCCCCCTTCCCACCCTCTTCTCTTGTGCTGCCTGCTTTAAATATTGCCTTGTGGTAACCTCTTGTGTCTGCTTGGGTTGATTGGGAGCCTCAGACCACAATAGTGGCTTACAACTGTCTTTAACTCCAGGTCCAGGGCATTTGACGCCTTCTTTTGGTGTCCCTGGACTCCAGGCATTATATATATATATATATATATATATATATATATATATATATAGTACACAGACATACATATAAGCAAAACACCCTTGAAATAAAGGTAATAAGATTCTTTTAAATTATTTTTCTGATTATACGTCTTAGTTCTTCCCATGACTTTCCACTAGTTATGGAAAATATGAGTGTATATTTGCCTTTAATTTCAGTATGTTATTAGCCATGGATATTATTTTTTATGCTTGTTTAAGCAGATTAAGAACACTTTAAGCCGGGCGGTGGTGGCGCACGCCTTTAATCCCAGCACTCGGGAGGCAGAGGCAGGCGGATCTCTGTGAGTTCAAGGCCAGCCTGGACTACAAGAGCTAGTTCCAGGACAGGAACCAAAAGCTACAGAGAAACCGTGTCTCGAAAATCAAAAAAAAAAAAAAAGAACACTTTAGAATATATGTAATTAAGATGGATGCCTAGGCTGGGCGGTGGTGGTGCACGCCTTTAATCTCAGCACTCCGGAGGCAGAGGCAGGTAGATCTCTGTGAGTTCGAGGCCAGCCTGGCCTACAGAGTGAGTTCCAGGACAGCCAGGGCTGTTACTCAGAGAAACCCTGTCTCGAGAAACCAAAATTAAATGACTAAATAAAATGGATGCATAGAAAACAACACAAATACCTGGGAGAATCTGGTTGGGTAGTGTTGTCATTAATCTACTGCTTCCCTCGTAATATGCATCTCCTCTGTGAATCATTTTCAGTTAACTTTAAGGGAATGCAATAAGAAGCTATGAGCTAATCGGGATGGCTCTGCTGATGGAAACTGCTGCTCCTGAGAACCCCGAAGAGGTTCCCAGCACCCGTAGGATGGCTCACAGCTGCCTGTAACTCCAGTTCCAGAGCACCTCATGCCATCCCCTAAGCACCAAAGTATGAATACGGTGCATAGACATACATACAGGCGAGACACCTATACACAGAAAATAAAATAATTTAAAGGGGTTTAAATTAAAATAATGCTTAGAAAAGTCCAAGCTGACCTAGTCCCGTGTCACATAAAGCAGTCAAAATCTGG